AACTGATAATACTCATGAGATAACAACCTTTCCTTGACGAATGTCTTCAATGGCCTCTGTAATAGATGAGAAACCTTCTGACGGCTGGTCCAGGTCAAATTCATCATCTTCAACAGCAAAACTGCTATTTGTTGAAGCCATATCTGCTGCAAGTGCTCCAAAATCTACAGAATCTGGCTGTACTTCAACTCCGCCAGACATGTCACTGATAAGAGCATTACATGCAATTTTTTTACCACTTGAATTGGGGAGAAGGCCACCTTCCCCAAATAACAGAGATTTAACTCTTCCATTGGCCTTGGTAGTGAAGCCCACTTTATTAAAGGACTGTAGAGGGCAGCCATTCACAGAATACAGATTACCACAATGCTGCTTATCAAACTGTCTGGAATTTTTAAATCTCCTGCACAATAACAAGGTTAGCTACAAATACGCTGTACGCATCATCAGAAAAGGAAAGATGCCAAAAGCTCTGAAAATAACGAAATTCTGCTCAACACGCACAGTATTTTACTATTTTTTATTACAACAAACATGTCTAAAGTTCTTTATGAAATAGTAGCTCATTTTAAGGTCTGCAACCCAAATTTCATATCTACCGAATTGATAAAATACCACCCATAAGGCTATGACCTATTCAAGAGCCCCTAATCAAAGCACAGCTCACATCATAGCAGAAAAGATTGCAAGTGTCTTTCTCTTTACCAATTTTTAAGCTTTTGGATCTGAACAAAGAGAACCCAAGTTTCTTATATCACAAATAAATCGATGCAATCATATAATGGAAGTCAGATTAACATAAGACATCACATACCCATGAAGAGAATCAATTAAATATTTTTTTTCCGTTGTCTGTGATTAAAAACAACAGCTTAAAAAACGCGCGAACAAATAATAAAGGAGAAACAACTAACAAAGTCAATTTGAAATCCCATATTTATGCATCTAACCGAGAAAGAACAAATAAAAAACAAAAAAGATTACAAAAGAATAGGGAGATAGCTTACTGAGATCCAGAAATGGTGGTTGAAGTGCAAGAAAACTTTAAAGAAGCCATCTTTTGGTTTACGACTGAAGGGTCTTGATGAGAGAATAGATGAAGAGAAATCAAGATTTTAGGATAAAAAATATTTGGATTTTGGGTTTGGGATACCACATCTTAAAGAGGATGGAGGGAGGGAGGAAAAAAAATATTCAAAGAAAAATGATGAAACGACTAGGAAATTAGTGACGGAGATAGAGAGAGAGAGAGAGTCGTTAGAGCGCGGGTAATATAACAATGCGTCACCAACCAATCACGGCTCATTTCCCCTGTCTTGTAAAGGACATTGTTGAGAATGTTCTACGTGTAAAAAGGTACTTGTTGAAAAAATAAATTGTTAAACGAGATAGCGTTTCGACTTATAAGTTGAAAATTTATTTTTAAATTTTTTTTATTAAATTAAATTAAATTAAATATTAATTTTAATCGCACATTTATAAGTATTAACAATTTAATATAAACAAGTTTCGTGAAACTCAATATTATTTCTTCTGAAGAGTTCGTAATAAGTTTATCATAACAAGATATAAATCGATTTTTCATAAAAGAAAAAAAAGTCATCATTTAATTTTTCAATTAATCGTCGTATAATTACAATGATGACTGCAGCCGTGTTAAATTTTACATGCATTTCTTGACCTTTCCTCTTCTTTTCTTGTAAGCAAAGAGAAAATAGGAAGGAAATTTACAAACAATGAGAATTCAACCATGAGACAACAAGTCAAATAATAATTATCCAATCAGATTTGATTGTCACATATGCATGACAAGGATCATATCCAAATAAACAATCTAGAAATTGGCACCACAAAATATACGGTTGAGATCTCCTTAAAACATCCCACTGTTGCTTCCTACAATCCTACATGTTAATGCTAGGGATGAAAATCCGGCCCCAGCCCTGTCCCACCTCGTTGCTATTCCTCGTTATGCATTAATCTCACAATTTAAATATGTTTGATCTTTTTGTCATGGTATAATATAATACTAGTTGCATATTGAAATTAAAATAGGGCAAAAGCTTATAATAGTCAAATTCAATGAATTCATCATTCATTATCTTAAGCTGGCCGCCCAAGAAAATAAAATAATTGAACTTTTTTCTAAGTTGATTAGGTCGTCCAAATGCATTGGTAAATTATCTTACCATTCAATTGTCACCTTCAAGTAGCATTAAGATTGAAGAACACTTGCACATGTATAGACCATAACTGGATGGTGCAGGTTGCAAATTACAGTGGACAGGAAGGTGTGGAGGAAGCAATTATGCATACAGATACTGCCATTATTAAGAATAAGAACACTTGCACATGTATAGACCATAACTGG